GTGTACCGTCGACGGGCAATAAATGGAGATTACATTCTCAATATGCTGACAATTTAAAATTTTAATATGCAATAGTTCAATACCAGGATTACGACTTTGTGTTGGGCAAACAATAGACCTTACAGAGCGATGAGTCATAACGGCGACACCACCGTAACGATCTTCTCTATCTAACCTATACGTATTGTAGTCGTTAATTCTAAAAGAACTTTCGGGTTCCAACCAAGTCTCACTTAACACGGCAATGTGTATTTTTTCCTGATTTAGGTGTAATTCGAGTGAATGAGATTTGGGTCGTATGCTCTGGCAATTCCATTGCATAATATTTAAGTTTGTATAAACATTATCATTAGCCATTTCCGACAAATAAATCAAATATCGAATCAATAGATAAACTACTTACAATTTTTTGTGTCAGCCACTCTGTAAATATGGAAAGTGATTGTTTGATTTTAATTTGAAGAGATTTCTTACTTTTTATAATATTACTAATTTTTCGTATCATATGCCAAAAACTCAAATTATGTAAAGTCTTATCGAGATGTTCATTCTTATTTGCCAAAGGATTGTCCAATTTTTCGGAAGAATCTGAAGACTCGGGATTATGATGCCATAGTATGTTCTCAGAAGGCGTGGGGGTCACTGGTCGGCGATGCTTCTTCAGAGTCCGTTTTGGTTTAGCTCGTATATTTGTAGTCGCTGTATCTGGGTCGTTTATTTCCAAGGCTGTACCAACATTTGCCTCCGCTGTTAGTGGTTTGGATTTGGTAATTTCTGCATAAGTCAGGCTGCCGTCGAGCGTTGGATTGGCAACCACTTGAGGAATTTGGACGGGGGAAGGCGGAACGTATAGGGTGAGCGCCTTCCTATAAGTGCAGTTAAATTCTGACATAATATCGCGTAGCTTCTTTTCCTTCTTATAAGATGGACATACTTTATCGAGCGCCATATGACAGCCTGAACAATTTACACAAGTGAATGAAGTGGTTGTGCAATTGAGGTGTTTTAATGAGCATTTGGGGCAAACAGGCTGCTTGGATGGACATCTTATCTTTAAATGGCCAAATTTCCAGCAGTTAGCACATTGAGTAACCGGAAATACAAACCGCTCCACTGGAATCCTCAGGTTGTAAATATAAACATAAGCTGGTAAGGAGGGCCCTTTGAACCCTAGCCGAATTGTTTCACTCGGAGACCAGCCGTTACCTTCGGGGTCATCCGAGCAACGTTTATTTAATCTTTTAATCGATGTTATTTCAGCACTGCTTGATAAATTACTTTTAAGATCTTCATCAGAAATGTCAAGTTCCATTGCTCTAATGAGTCCGTATGATACACCTACTTCCGAAGTCTTTTGGCAAGACCAACCCATGTCAGTAAACACCGAACACTTTATAAATTCCTCTGCACCCATATCATTATCAAACGTAATCAGCATTTTATACTGATGTACGTATTTAATCTTATAGATCTTGCCGCTGGGAATATTGCGTGTCTTAAATAGGCGTGCCAAAGCGAATTGTTTCGGCAAAGGTTCTTTACACGTGACGCATACCTGTGTTCTCTCTTCTCTTATTCTCTCATCGTGCTGTTCCCTACTACATATAAGTTTGCTTCTCCCTCTATTAACTACACTCCATCCATCCTCTGAAGAGTTTTCATCCCTTATCCTTTTCCCTCCTATCAACTCCGTTTCAACCTGTTGTGTATTGTCCTCAATATCCATGTTTGTACCGTCCTCTAACTCGTCAGCGCTCGATAACGAATTTATTATATTTGATTCATTTACGTTCGACTCACTCATATGCACAAACAACAGCTGCAAGCCCGACCGGGGAAACCGGTTGGGCCGCGCGTAAACAAAATATGCGATAAGCGCTTAAATGGAATAACTAATTAGTAAAACGTCCGGTCACGAGGATAGCTCGTACGACACTGCCTAACTAGTTTTATAACGCGGCTTAACACACACAAACTCAAACACGTAATTGATATTATTCCTAATTCCATAAAACTCCAATAAGGAACATTGCTGTCGCTTATTATGTAATACTGTCGAACTTAAACGATTTATTTTAGCCATATTTTTAACTATTGGCCCGAAATTTTCTCTTACATTGAACTTTTATGACTTCTGTGACATGCCCCCGAGAAATGACATGGCTTCAAACCTACACCTTGCATATACAATGTAATACCAACTTTCCACCAGCTCTGATATTATATTTTTAAACTAGTTTCATTACGCGGCTTCGCTCGCATTAGTGACTTAATAATATTGACTTTAGAATAGACTATGTACCTAATTAACATAACACAACGCCCCTTTTTAAAAAATAAGTAGGCAGTAATGTACAGAATATATTTTTTGAAAACATTGTTATTTCGAGACATTTCGCTTTTAGGGCCTGTTTCACGATGTCTGATAAAAGTTGCTTATGAATATGAGCCCCTGTCGTGGCTTGAAATCAGTTGAGTTACCTCGTCAAACAACCGTTTGACGTTGAATTATTTTATTTCACTGACAAATGTATTTTTTTAAACTATTATCTGTTAGTCTAACAATAATGTATCAGACATTTTGAAACCGGCGCTTAGTGACAATAATATAATTAATCTCATTGTAGTGGGAATTATAGTTACACATACAGCCAAACCTACATATCGATTTCCAAAATAGAATGCCACGCCCGAGAATCGAACCTTTGACATCGCAATCAATAATTTACAAGCCAAACCAACAATACAGTCCTAATATAAAAATCGAATTCATTATTAATTCTATAATTTAATTATTATTTAATAATTGAACTTCTAACGAATTTTTAATAATTTAATTATATTTTTCTTAAAAATCTTGACTACTATCAAACTGGACTCCAACTGCGCAGTTACTGATGATTTTTCTAAAAAATTACAGTAACACTCTTCGACTCGGGAATCGAACTGTGATACCAACGTTCACGTGCTTTCAACTTTCTATAACCAACATGGGCAGTGACATTACACGCTATATTTTTTTTTTCTTAATATTAAATAAGGTGTATACGCAACGCTTCCAAAACGATGACAAACAGATTATTTTTTACAATTACTTACTTTACGGTACTTTTCTTAGTCGAAAATAAATTATTTCGACTGTAGTTAAGTCATCGTAACCCTCTATTTCGATAATCATCATCATCAACAGTCTATAAATGCCCACTGCTGAGCAAAGCCTCTTCTCACACGGAGAAGGTTTGAGCATCATCATCAAAGTATATGTCGCAGAATCAACAAAGATGCACAGCTATCGAGTATCGTTATTTTAGAACAACGCCATCTGTTATCATTTGTCGGAAACGTCAAGCAGTGTGCTCGGGTGATGGTCGGTACGGGGCGTGGCATGTTGGCATTTTGAAAGGCGTCACTTTTGAGTTGGACACGAGGGTGAGCGGTTGTTCTGCTAGCCCGTACCGAACTTACCGCGTTTACGAAGAATCCGATGACGAAGTACCCCCAATGGGTGCATTTCCTCCGACATTATAATTTCTAACGTTTAAGAAAAAAAAACAAATATTTTTGGCATTTTTCGGAAGCGTTCGTTTACACCTAGTAATTTTTTTCTTAATATACCATGAACTTTTCACTATTTATGTTATGAGTCCCATGTAATAGGGGATGAGCTTAATGCCATATACCGGACACGATTAGGAACCGAACATTATTATGTACTTAATAAACTAGTGCCCTTTTAGAACAACAGGTCGCGCAACCTAGTTGCAACTTAGTTGCGCAACCATATTGTTGACGGCTACCAGATCGTCGCGCAACTAAAAATCTTGTTTGACAGTGAAATAGGTGAGCTCTTTTGGCTATTTTCATAAACCATCTCTTCACTAGGAGTTAATTGGTGTGAGGGAGCACCTAAACTTATTCCTTACATAAATCGGTAGGTGTAATTTATACATACATAGGTTGATGAAAACCAAAATGTCATTTAGATTAGGAGTTACTTAAAGTTTAAGAGAGGTTGGAGAAAACGGTTATTTATAATTCATTTGATTTTATGAGCTATCGGCCCCCGTACAGTCCGAAAGCGATCGATCTAGCTCGAAACAGGAGTTTTAACATTGAATCATTAATTTAATTTATTATTAATTACATTTAAAAGTATAACATTTCGGCATAGTCACAAATTAGTTTCCAATGCTTAAAAAATACACTGTATTGCTCAAGAAATAAGGTTAATATTGCATTAGCAAACAGTTTATAGAAGATAGATTTTTAGACAATCGACATAAGAGACTCAGTGTTATTAAAAATATATTTCATCTATTGTTAGACGAAATTAAACCTTAATACAAGGTATTAAAGTTGATAAATATCACGCTTATAATAATATTCATTATTATTTGTCAATTTTTTTTTCTTTAAGTTGATCTCCGTCAAAGTTGTCGATTATACTTTTCGTTCTTTCAGTGGAAATTGTATAACATCTCGCCTTTTATCCCTGTAGGGGTAGGCAGAGCTGCACATAACGCGCTTAATGCCCCCGTACAATGTAACAAGCACTTTTCACTATTTGTGTTATGTGTCGCATGTAATAGGGGGTGAGCCTATTGTTGAAATTTCAATGAAGTATTTATTTTACTTAAAACGTATTAGGAACTTTGTGGTCTACATACTAATATATTATTATAAAAAAAGTAAAGAAAACTCATTGTTTGTTTTCATCAATACACATACGCCCGAAATACTGAACGGCTACTCATTTTAAGTCACACTTAAATATCGCGCCATCTCTGTCATTTACAAAGACTTTGTAGAGACAGAACTATAAGTAGTTTTTTTTATTACATAAGCCCGTAAACGAGCGGACCGGTTACCTGATGGTAAGCAATCGGCGCCGCCCATGGAAGCATGGACACTCGAAACGATCAAGGCGTTACAAGTGCGTTACCGGCCTTTTGGGAATTGGGAATTTGAGGATTGTGGAGGATTCGGGGATTCGGGAGACGGGTACTAGGGTAATTGGGCCTCCGGTAACCTCACTCACACGACGAAACACAACGCAAGCGTTGCTTCACGTCGGATTAATAAGTTAAGCGCGACTTGAAATGTGTTTGAGTATTTCAGTCTATTCCAGAGTTTCTTGTAATCTAATGGACCGATTTGAATATTATACCATAATTAAAAAGCTTAACCAAAAATCGCGGGTTACTCACGTGAGCATATTGAGAAAATCTCTACTAGTTTCGAGTCACTAACACACGCCCACACTAGTAGTACAACACGCCCGATTTCTATCGCCACAAAAAAGTACAATCAGCAAAATTGACGGTGACCTAGTACTCTATAGTCTCTTACATCGTTTTATGAACACGATTACACGCCAAAATATGCTAAACCAGTATAAAGTGATCGCTCTGTGAGCTTAAAGACGATATAAATCGGGACCATGGTAAAATGGTTACGGTCGCCATGTATGAAGACCAGTATAAGCTGGCCGATCAATGTGCTGAAGAATCATACGATGCGGGACCAAAGTAACCTGGTTTTTGACTATGACTAAGGTATGACGAACCAGTACAAGCTGACCGTTCAATGTATGAAATGATCGTACAATGCGAGACCAAGATATAACGGTTTGTATAGTTTGATGTATTACCGTGTACTTATGATTCTAAACAAAGTAATAGAACGGATATAAGTATCGCCACCACCCACCGGTTTTAGGTTCCTCCTCTTCTTTAGGGGTCTCCGGCTCTGAGGTTAGGGGTTGTGTATCCTGGAAAAAAGGTCATTATCATTATATCAGTCATAGGACGTCCATTGCTGAACATAGGTCTCCCCCAATGGCTTCAAGATGTACTCATTCTCACTTTCAAGTGTGGGAGAGGCTCGACCGGAGTGATACCACGGCCTCACAGAAGACCAACGTGAAACAACGCTTGCGTGGTTTTACGTCTTTCTCGTCACTATTTTGTGTAATTCATGGTTTTATTGACATTCCAAAAGATAATATTTAGCGTCTCGTGATGGTGAATTGCTGTACCAAACATGACTGCCTTAGTGGTCGAGTGGTCGCGGTATATGGCAATAGGCTCACCCCCTATTACATGGGACTCATAACATAAATAGTGAAAAGTAGGTGTTACATTGTACAGTGGTATAATGTGCACCTCTGCCTACCCCTTCGGGGATAAAAGGCGTGATTTTATGTTATGTATAACCTTTCATCGTTTTAGTTAGTTTTGACCTATTACAGCCAGTAAATCAAAGAATTATTGTACGCAAGGCCATTATATATCAATTTAAAGTAAAATTTATTGATAATTTCTTAGCTAGCAGCTTTAGTCACGTAAGTCCAACTATCACTATCTTATACTGCATACGCTGAGGACTTTTCTTTTGGGACAAGCCCGCCATATCCTCCCAAAACCGCTGCAACTCCTGTACACCAGGATCTGCAGTAGATACAACCATGAAAACACCGGAACACTGAAGTCCGGCGCGTCACATTGACATGAATAACTGTCTTCGTCCCGCAACGAAATGAATCAGAAGATATTACAAGAGGAGAAAAAAAACGCTGAGGACTTGTCTATCTCTATTCTCAGTAACTCGGGCTACAGGCTTTTCTTTTAGAGGAGCCTTTGTCAGTATAGAAGTAACGTGCGATTGTTAGAGCACATTGTACTTACATTTAACACATCTTTAAGGTCAGTATCGACGTTTTCTTTGCCCTTCCCAGACAGCTGCGTGACCTTGACTTCAGGCTGGTGTGGTAACGTTGCCACTACATCCGTCTGTGTGCTCTGATCTCTTGTACACTCTGATCTTTCCAACTCGGGACCCGTTTGGGATGACTGTGGAAAATAATTAAGTTGACTGCCTCGTTGGCCGAGTGGTCTCAAGTACGACGTGCGACTGCCGGGCAAGGGGTTTCGGGTTCGATTCCCGGGTCGGGCAAAGTATTACTGGGTTTTTGAAAAATTCTCAGTAGTAGCACGGAGTCTGGAATTGAGCCCGATATATGGTAATAGACTCACACCCTATTACATGGGACTCATAACATAAATAGTGAAAAGTGGGTGTTACATTGTACAGTGGCATAATGTGCACCTCTGCCTACCCCTTCGGGGATAAAAGGCGTGATGTTATGTTATGTTATTGTTCAATAATAATCCATTTATCTCGCCACTATTCCACTACATTGCTCTCTACGAACACCAGAACTTACTTTAATTAATAATAGAGACGAAGTCAAAGGGCAACCTGTGAAAATCTTAAAGGTCCCCTACAATTTTGAGATGCAAGAAACAAATATAATACATGCAAACCTAGCTTCTGTTAACCTGAGCAAACTTCATAGTCTCCAGGACAGAATAACACTTCAGGCGCCAGTACTACAAGACAAGATTACTGAAACATTATACCATACCACTATTCCGTTCTACACAATACTATCTATCGCAGTTATACTAACAGCTGCGTTCGTCATCTGGAAATATCTTCCCAAAACTCAGAGAAATAGACAAAATGCTGAAATCAAGAGAGCTGAAACCCACGGGTACGCCACCCCTGAAACTTTAAAAGGGCTGAATAAACAGGAAAAGCACCCAGCAACATTTTCACTAGAAGTTTTAAAATAGTTGCTGATCTAAGGGCGGAGGTGTTACGCTAGTGCAATTTAGGTACACCGCTGACGAAGCACACCCTCAATAATTTATAGATTTATAATCAGTTAAGTGCACAAATTCGAGACACGAGGCAAAATCACCAAATTAACAAAACGCCAGGAAGGCCAGCGCATCGGTGCAGTTTAAGAACACCGCTGACAAAGCATAGCCTCAATAAATTGTAATACATAAGTTATTGCGCAAATTCGAGAGGAACGAAGCAAAGGCGCCGAATCAGCAACACGCTAAGAAGGCCAGCGCAACGCGCCCGAAAGCGCACTTCAGATACAGCATCGATCGAAGCAATAGGTTTAGCTAGTTATTAAGACTTTATGTAATAAGTTTTACTTCGAATAAACCCTTTTTTTGTATCTTAATTTGGGTTTAATTATATCCTCCGGCGGCAGCCTCCGTAATTCACATCACACTTAGACCCGAAACAACAATTTGTGGAAAATTTACATATTTGTTCCGTGTGTGAATCGAACCAAACGTCGCTCGACAGCCCCTAAGCGTCACCCGTGCAGTAAATGTAATCTTATGTCGATGTAATTAAAGTTCAAAATGGCTCACCTCCATATCTTCCTCGTTGACGATGCCTGATGAATCTTCTTCGCATGGCTCTGAGTCTTTGGCAAATGGTATGAACTCTGGTAGATCCTGTAAGTATATAGTTAGCCAAATTATTTAGTACGTAGGTAAGTAAATAAACATTGATTCAGTACAGAGACAGTAGCCATTGTTATACTGGAGCCATCAGACCATCACAGATGGGGCCTAAAAAGGCTGATGCCGAAACGGAGCCGCGGAATATTTAACGGGTTGCCGGGGCTCAGGGTCGAAGTGCAGGAGTAGGAACGGGGTGGTTTTTAGTCAGTAAGAGTCTGACACTCCCTCTCGCCTCACCCGGGCGGGAGAAGTCATTGGATGGCACAGAATTCCATTCCTTAGCAGTATGCACAAGGAAGCTTGATGCGAAGCGCTTCGTGCGTGTGGGTGGGACATCTAACATGAATCGGTGACGGTTTGCCGATTGTCTTGTGGTACATTGATGGAAAGGACTAGGGGGAATCAAGTTGTGCAATTCTCCCGCATTTTTATTTTAAACATTTTATTCCTTTATAAAACTATTGTATTACCGAGACAGAATAATTTTACTTCGGGACGAAAACGAAATAAATATCACGGTAAATATGGCATGTTGAATGATAGCTTGTCAAAGTCAAAGTCAAAATCATTTATTCCAAGGAAGTCACTTTTGAGCGTCAACAATCAAAATTTAAAAGTGAAGCTATTTGCTCATTCCAAGGTGTAGATTCCTATGGAGAAGAACGAGCAAGAAACTCCATAGGTTACTCTTTTCCAATCAGGTTCACAATACAATTGGCTAGTTTCCTAGGTTTAAAATAAATTGTTTCAACTTTTCAATGCAATAATTAATTAAAAAATAATCATATTCTCATCCATTTAACAATTTACCTATTTTTGGATTTTGTCTCGATAATTTTAAGGAAATAAGTATGCTATTTGACGCAGAAATATGATGACGCCATAAGTAGCGATCCAATACAAAATTCATAAAAAAGTATCGTTTTTGACATTTCAATAAAAGTATTAAATTTGACTACCTGTCAACCGTCAACCGTATTATCTAGTTACATAGTTTAATTAGTTAAATAGACTAACCTCTTGTTGTTTGTCCCGTCTCCAAGCTCTGTAATCACAGGCAGCTCGTCGCATGCGTTGTAGATACGCCGGGGCCGCTCGTCCAGTGGCCCAGGCAGCCACCGTCGTTGGCATGCCACCCACTGCCGGCTCGTCGTAGTATGTTAGCACGAATTCCATACCCGCCTGAAGAGAATACAACTATTTTCATGATTATATTATAGCAGTTAACTTAATTGTCTAATACCTTTTATTATTAATTTTGATATTACATTAATAGTAATCAAACAAAACGCCCTTCCTCTCTTCTACTAAACTTAAATGTTGCTGTGCCCCACAATGTCCGTAATTGTTACTTTTGTATTTTCAAACCACCTGTATATGTACATTGTGGATGCAATAAATACTTGATTACTAGTTCGGAATTGTAATGAGTTAAGCCAAGTCTGTAACTTGGCAAACAAGCTGAGGAGTTTGATTGTTTGAACGCACCAATCTCCGTAACCACTGGTCCGATTTGAATAATTCTTTTTATGATGGATAGTGCATTTATCAGGCGTTGAAGTCTCGTTTTTTTAACGTATTTAACGAAAGAATTATTTACCTTATCGGGCCCGTTCAATGTTTTAACGACCATATGGCTCCAGTACTCTGATACTCTAATAGCATGTTTGGACTCCGGCACTTTGGGGTGTTCACAGGACCTTGACATAATGACATACACCTTATTCTCACACATATCTCCATCTCTTTCCCTCTTGCACGCTTCCATAGCTTTCCGTTTCGCTTTAGAGTGCACGCTCGGTCTTTCCGTGTAGACTGTCTCATTTCGAGTAGAGCGTTGTGACGCCCGAAATAGCCCGTCTTTGTGCGGGAGATTTTCTGTTGAGACGTCGAATTCTTTGTGCCTTCTTATATATACGTAGTCTCTGTTTGCGAATAATCTCTGAAAAAAAATATATTTATAGTTTTAATTAGTACAATAACTACTGTATCGTCAGTTGAATCGGTAAATCGGAGCGATCGGTGCAAAATATGATCGGGTTTTATTTTCGGTTCAAATTAAATCAATTTTATTTACTAGAAAAGTGGTACATTACAGATTATAGAATACATTAGAGATCGTCACATTTCACCAGGTCAGGTATGCAAATGTCATAAATTAATAAATTTTAAATGTCAAATGTCATAGATCAATCAAGGTGTTTTCATAGTAACATGGGAATCTAGAATTTTGTTCATTTTCTTTCTATCTATACAAATAAAGATAATAAAATAAAAAAAGACGAAAGATTTGACTTTTTACTGGTTTGTTCGTTTCCGAAACTAACACTTATATCTGATAGACACGACAGACACGGCGGACACGACGAACACGACGAACACGACCGACACGACCGCCGCGACAGATACGAAAAAAACGACCGTCGACAAACGTGACCGACACGAAAAATTCGACAGATACGACCGACACGGCAAATACGACAGATACGACCGACACGACAAACACGACAAATACGACCGACACGACAGATACGATCGACGCGACAAATACGACCGACACGACAAATACAACAGATACGACCGACACGACAAACACGACCGACACGACAAATACGACAGATACGACCGACACGACAAACACTACAAATACGACCGACACGAGAGATACGATCGACGCGACTAATACGACCGACACGACAAATACGACAAATACGAGCAACATGACAAACACGACAGATACGACCGACACGACAGATACGATCGACGCGACAAATACGACCGACACGACAAATACGACAAATATGACCCACACGACCGACACGACAAATACGACAAATATGACCCACACGACAAATACGACCGACACGACAAATACGACATATATAAACAAATATTCATTCAAATTAGTTCAGCCGTTTAGGATAACTAACCTAGACATCGCATGCAGCGCCATACCGAGCTGATTTGTGAATCTAAACCACCAGGGCGCCACTCAAACGCGTACAGAAAAAATCATATAAATCGGTTAAGCCGTATAGGAGGAGTTCAATGACATACACACGCACAGCAGAATTATATATATAAAGAAGATACTTAATACGTAAATCTGAAGACCTTGTTTGAACGCACTAACTGGTCACTACTGGCTCAAATTGAAAAAATATTTTTATGTTAGACTAGCGACCCGCTCCGGCTTCACACGGGTGTGCATGTATTATACATATAAACCGTCCTTAAGAATCTCTCTATCTATTAAAAAAAACCGCATCAAAATCCGTTGCGTAGTTTTAAAGATCCAAGCATACATGAGGACAGACAGACAGCGGACAGCGACTTTGTTTTATACTAGGTATGTAGTGATACATGCATATTGCACCCGTGCGAAGCCGGGGCAGGTCGCTAGTCAATTTATAAAACATGCGCTACAATCAGTGGGAGTCAAGCAGGGGGGTAAAACCATTCGGAAGCACTTAGCTAGTTAACTAACACACTCACCGGCCATAGAACCTCCCAATGCAACACGGCCTGGTCTGCCAGTCCATTGGCCTTGCGCTCCACGACCGCTAAAGCAGCGACGGCCGCGTCCCACACAGTCCTGTACGCACCGTCCACTTGTACGGCCGCGAAATCTGACGCTCTCACGTCTAGATACCTTCCGTATACTGTAACAGAACACAAAAAATATAAATGTGTAGATCTCAGACTCAGACCTATTTTACCCATAAGGTAAACTAGGCAAGTGTCTATGGATCCAGGTTACAGAGGGACGCCGCGAGACGCGCGTACCCATCTTCCAAGAATGGCAACGGCCAAAAACCATTAGAGCCGCTTATGAGGTGCTTGCATAGAGGTGGATTACCATCTCTGGATTACCCATATCGGTGAATCATGCGTTCACCCATTATTCGTCCGGTACGAATGGGCTGGCTCGACCGGAGTGATACCACGGCCGCAAAGAAAACCAACGTGAAATACCGCTTGCGTTGTGTTTCGTCGTGTGAGTGAGGTTGCCGGAGGCACAATTGCATCCCTAATCCCCATATCCTCTAACCCCTAACCCTGAAAGGGCAGTAACAGTAACGTACTTGTGTTGCTTGTGCGGCGCCGATTGCTTACCACCAGGTGATTCGTCTGTTCGTTTACCTACCATAAAAAAATATCTTGAAGGTCCGCGGGCGTCGCAAGAGCCGACGAAGGTACTACAAATTTGACAGAGACCAGATAACAAAGAGCGCTGTTTGATTTTTTATGAAATAGGAGGCAAAAGGGCAGACGGATCATCTGATAGTCAGCGATCAGCGCCACCCATGGACACCCGCAACATCAGATGTCACAGGGCGTTGCCGGGCTTTTAAAAAGGAATACGCCCTTTTCTTGGAGGTTTGAATGTCGTATCGGTTCAGAAATGCCGCCGACAACAGATCAGTCCACAGTTTTGCTGAGCGAGGCAGAAAGCTACGAGAGAACCGCAGAGGTGATAAACCTGAATGGAGATTTTGGCAAACCTACTTATGTAGACGACGCCCATAGTCCAGTATTAGACTTAAGCCCATTTCCACTAAGGTATTTTAAATTTTAAGAAGCCCTTAAGCTACGTTAGGTGACACTTAACGACATTTTGATTTTTACGAACCTATAAGTGATATAAAACGGTAAGAGATTAGTTGAGGTCTTCCCTTACACCAAGCAACTCTTAGTTAAGGGATGGTTTATGAAAACGGCCAACAGCCTGTTGTGGGCCACTACTAATATTATAAATGTGAAAGTTTGTGTGTTTGTTACTCTTTCATGTTCTACTAGTTTCGAACCAAAGAGGGGTTCTTCCATATGAGCCGCGTGCGCGGTCGCGGCGACGTCGACGTCAGTGAGCTGCGCGACGTCGCCGGTCGAAACTAGTAGAGCTTCCAGTATATTCACGTGAGTAACCCGCGATTTTAGTTAATTTGGTATGTCTCACGAAAGTTATTACAAAAACAGGGGTATTATGGTCTGGAATACCACATAATATGCAACTTTTTACAACACGCGGGCAAAGCCGCTGGTAGAAGCTATTGTTGACATATCTGCAGCATCTTACATTACTCTCAGCACGTTGTGAACATACGAACGTATCTCAAGGCCTCGTGATTTTCCGCGTGTTACGAACACATCACCAACACGAGTTATCTATGAAATTACTATGCATCTTATCGATGTAACGTTAGCGTGAATCATCGGTAATTTAGACTTGTCCCTACCTCGGCCTTTACCTGTTTGGAATTTTAATAATCTAGCTTTAAAAGTTTCAGTTTAAAAGATTCATAAACACCGTAATATCTATTTCGTTATCGTCCCGAAGTAAAATGGTTCTGTCTTGATAATACAATAGTTTTACAAAGAAATGAAAAAAATAACTGGTGAACCATTGCAAAAAGCAAACTTCGAAAGCGTATACGAACTCATAGTACATTATCAAAACATCACGCCATGTAATTCTCGAAGAGGTATTGCTTGTCGGGTGGCACGTGCGATGCGAGTATTGCCTACTAATTCACGTCTAGTGTTTCATGTGCGTATTCCCAGTAATTTTTTTGTAAATTAAGAAAAATCTTATCTATTTTTTTTTTACTTTATATATCGAAAGTAGTATGGGAAGTTGTTTTACCGCGGTACGAAAACGAATCAAATTTTACGGTGCATATCAGAGAGCGCTGCTGTATTGTCTCTATCCCCTGGCTTTTGGAGGGTAAAAAATCACATTAGGGGCTTTAACTTCTTGTTAGTGGCCATCGCAGGGTTTGTCCAGGTCCCGGGCCTGCGGACGGCGAGCACGAATGACGCCCGACCGAGTGTACGGCGGCGAGCGTTCCGCGCGCGCCTCAAGGAGCCATCAGACCACCACAGATGGGGCCCAATAGGGCTGATGCCGATACCGATCCGCGGAGGGCTTAACGGGTTGCCGGGGCTCCGGCTCGAAGTGCAGGAGTAGGAACGGGGTGGTTTTTAGCCAGTAAGAATCTGGCACTTCTCCCGCCTCACCCAGGCGGGAGAAACCATTCGATGATTTTACCCCCTTAAAAAACCCGAATGAGTACAACCAGACAGCTCATCTAAAGAACAGCAAGTTTTACCTGAGTCCATATTATCAGAGATACACAGGTATAACGTTTAGCCTGACAAAGATAAGATAATACAAATAAATATGTTTACTTTTCTGATTATGATTATGATATAACCATGATAGATAATACCTATAACATTTTTTGAGGGGGGAAAATCATCCAATGACTTATCCGTTGGGATAACGGATAAGTCATTGGATCTCGCCTCACCCAAGGTGGGACCTTGGGTGAGGCGAGGGAGTGTTCTTCGGGCCGGAGCGGCGCGGAGGTCTTAACGGGAACCCGTTAAGACCTCCGCGGCTCCGTATCGGCATCAGCTCTACTGGGCCACATGTGTGGTGGTCTGATCGAGATAATTCATCTACTACTACTCATACTACACTTTTGACAGAAACCGGGCAGTGATACTCTCTTATAATAAACCTTTTAAGCTGTGTTCTCCCCAAACCCTTTAATCCTTAAATTCGTAACCCAAAAACACCGGCAACGCATTTGTCGCTGGCGACAGCGACCTCTCGAGTCCGGCTCTGGTTCAGACTATGCGGAGTGCGGAGGACCGAGATGCCTTCCCGTACTGCGAAGCTGTGAAGCGTGATGCGTAAGGGAACGAACCTCCTCACGCCCCAGCCGTCGCGAGAGACACTCCGGGCATCGGAGATCGCGAGACTTTGTTCGGCCACCGTCAGTACCTACGGGCCTGCGGACGGCGAGCACGGATGAGTCGACGCCCGACCAGGCGACTTACTCTTGAATCCAATTCCGATCGATCGACATTGGCATTGTAAAATTTCGTACTCTTGAGTTACAACACTAGCGCCCATTGCATCAGTATTGCGTGGATATTGAATGAACTAAATGGTATTCAGTTTGGCTTTATATTCCGTGTTCTGAATACTATTTTAACAGGTGCGATAGGGGTTGTATAGTTTTGACATTGAACAATTATTGATATTTTATTGGATTAAAATTGCATTGACATTGAGATTGGTTTCAAGAGTCTTGAACCATACCCGAGCGTACGGCGTGTCGCGTTCAGCACGCGCCTCAAAGGGCCATCAGACCACCATGGATGGGGCAGAGTCTGCCCAACAGACAATAATGAAATTACACTTGGAAGCAATGAAACGGTACCACTAGCTTTTTATCTTTTTTATTTCTTGATAAATATTTTCTAATTATTAATTTGTAACGTAATTATGTCGTACAAAAGGCAATTGGGTCCTTGCCAACTAGTCAAATTCAATACTTTTTTCGAATTGTCCAAAACGACAGTTTTCTATGAATTTTGTACGAGATTGTGTTGTGACGTCACAATTTTTAGCGTCAAACAGCATAGTTATTTTTTTTAATGCTGGAAAAATGCTAAAATAAGTTCGGTCATAAAATCAATCACTACATAGTATAAAACAAAGTCGCTATCCGCCGTCTGTCTGTGCCTACGTATACTTAGATGTTTAAAACTACGCAACGGATTTTGTTGCCGTTTTTTTTAATGGATAGAGTGAAGCTTCTTAAGGAAGGTTTATATGTATAATAAATGCATATTGCCGTGGAAAGCAAGAATTGTATTGATGTATTGAACAGTCGAAATAATTTAATTTTAAATAAGAAAAATACCCAATTTAGTCACCTTTAAAATTGTTGTAAAAGTAATATTTTTTTAAGTTATAGAAGGTTCGATAAAATCAACAAAATTAAAAAAGACGCTAGCGATTCCGTTTCTTAGCTCCCATGTTTAGATTAGCCTACTTTGTAATGTCTATCTTTACGATTACTGTACATAAATATGACCTTGACAGTTACTTACGATAACGCACGTTAACATTTCATATCTAGTTTGACCTTGACATATGAAGGGTGAAAATAAATAAATCTGTAACTGTCTCTGGTACGTCGGAACATAAGAGGTAGATCTACGCGAGACACAGTGCGTTTTCTATTGTCTCATATCTCGACCGACAAGAGGTTAATTGCTGCGAATTTTCTAAAATTTTACAATTGGGATGCTGACAGGGTATGAAAATCTTATACTATTATATAAAGCGGAAGAGTTTGTTTATTTGTTTTTTCTGTTTGAACGCGCTAATCTCCGTACCTACAAGTCTGATTTGAATAATTATTTTTGTGTTGGATAGCGCATTTGTCGACGATGGCTATAGGCTATAAAACATCACGCTACGACCAATAAGAGCTGAGCAGAAGGTGTGAAACCGCGCGGAAGTAGCAAGTTAAAAATATAATTAGTCCGTAAGTTAGGTAATGAAAAAATATTAGACACGTATTTTTTTATTTTGTCATATAATAAAACAATACTTAAATAAAACGAATCAAAGTTTAGGAGTGGGGGCTACAACGTCATTTCTACGTATAAAATGGACATAGAAGTGACGTCATGCGACATTTCAAATCAATATATCGCCGAAAGTATTCGTTTCTGTAAGAAAATAAAAAATACGTGTCTAATGATTTTAAATAATCTACCAGACGAACATTAAAATAAAAATTAGGCATCTACCCTATTATCAATTTGAAAGCAACAAAAACCAAACGAAAGAATCTTTAAGTTACAGTCGCGTGGGCTTATTTTCAGCAGTATCTTAGTTTTATTGACAAAACGAACACAAATTAACTACTCAAACACATCGCGCCCAAATCCGAAACATCTATTTAGGTATGATACATACGTAGTCACGTAGATAATCTCCCATGGGGTAGGTAGAGACTATGGAATGCCAATTTTTTTATGGGATTAATCGGTAAAGCAGCAGACGAATCACCTTGATGGTAAGCAATCGGCGCTGCCCATGGACACCCAAACACCCGAGACAGCGGCGGCATTACAAGCGTGTTGGTTTTGTTTTAGCTTTTGGGAATTAGGTATTTGAGGATTGTTGGGGATTAAGGGATTAGGGAGGGTGTAATTGGGCCTCCGGTAACCTCACTCACACGACGAAACACAAAGCAAGCGTTGTTTCACGCCGGTTTTATGCTCAGCCGTGGTATCACTCCGGTCGAGCCGGCCCACTCGTGCCGAAACATGGCTCTCACACATTACGTTTATACACATATACTCCTAAGCCGCCTTTTCCGTCCATACAATTAACCATTGATTGCCTTGTTGGCCGAGTGGTCGCAAGTGCGACTGCCGGGCTAGGGGTCTCGGGTTCGATTTCCGGGTCGGGCAAAGTTTTACTGGGTTTAAAAAAAATCTCAGTAGTAGCACTGAGTCTGGACTTGTGCCCGGTAAATGGCAATAGGCTCGCCCCTTATTACATGGGACTCAAAACATAAATAGTGAAAAGTGGGTGTTACATTGTACAGTGTCATTAAGTACCGAAATGTACACCTCTGCCTAAGTTATGTCATGTTTACAATGAACCGTGCACTCAAAAACCAACCCTGTCTTTACTAACAGAAAATAGATTTTACCGTACATACCTTTATACGCATACAGTCCCATGCCAGGTTTGTACTCTTTCCTCCAAATGATGACGTCCTCCGCCTCCATGTATGGCACCCAACCGTCTGGTGACTCCGCTGGTAACGCTGATACTTTGCATCTGAAAAATATGAAGGCTATAAAACGTCACGCTAAGATCGATACGAGCCGAGCAGAGCGGTGAAACGGAAGTACCTAGCTAGTGTTTCATATTTGTATTACAAAATTTTCAATAACAACATCACGCCTTTTATCCCCGAAGAAATAGGCAGAGGTGCACATTATGCCAATGTAACACCCATTTTTCACAATTTATGTTATGACTCCCATGTCATAGGGGGTGAGCCTATTGCCATATACCGGCCTAGACTCCGTGCTACTACGTACTTATTTGTTAAGAAAATTAATTTATATTAATTTACAAATAAGAAAAAAATAATACATACTGAAATTATTAAACTAAGATAGATGAAACCTAACATCATTTTGTTTTCAGCAACCTCAAAGTTACACCTAACGGTACAAATAAGGGTATAGTGGTATAAGTACTTATTACTGTACGCTTAATGTATGTGTGAGTGAATGTATCCTTAATTATATTACTTAACA